TGCTAAGCAGTGAATAAACTGAGCTCTACTGGTTGACTCTAAATTCTGGAAGTTTGCTCTCCACAAGTGGCAATGCCATTGCCAGCCTTGAGCACACGGGTTTGTACAGTTTACATAGAAACACCCTTACCAGGAAAGTGTATTTCCTTCCTGGCCAAACACACTAACAGTAAAATGTTGGCTCTTTATAAACTGCCCACACAGCCCATCCCTGGAAGCAATAAGCTATTGGTTAAAGATTCCTTAGATTCTTAGTGACGTTTCTGATAATGGTCCCACTTATAAACACAGATTACAGATCCTATGCAGGAGTTTAACAGCACTGGCTTGTTCTAAAGTGTGCTTTACCCTGGGTTATCAGAACAGTAGCTGAATTCCTCCTTTGGCAAAAGGGCAAATTCAGATACCTTTAGTCACCTTTTTCCACCACGAGTCTCACTGAATTAACTGAAGATTGATGATCAGACAATGAACAAAGGGCTGAGCCTGCACATAGGGCTAACACAATGGTTACCATTATACCATGGGACTTCAGAACACCTCTGGGGTAGAAAGAGCCCTAAGTTTTCTAAATATCACCTTCAAATCACAACTTTTCACTGTTTTATCAGTGTGTTTAAAGCAGTGAAACCTTCTGAGGCAGGTAAGTTTATATTTTCTGAATTCTACAGTTTAACTTAATTCATATACTGGAAGGAGACTGTCCTTGATTTCACTATAACTGCATTCAGACAAAGGACTGCAGATGCAATAATATATAAAAAATACCAACATTGCTAAAGGTGCTCTGCTTTAATTAATGACAGAGTATGTAAGACAGGCAACATTTTTCACTTCAAAGCTACATGAGGACACTTACTGAATTCAGAATAGATAGTGTGCTTCTGGCAGTCCTCCCACTGTCATTTCATGTGTCTGTCTTCCCAAAAACACATCTTCCAAAGCTCTGGGTCACAAAACATGACACAAGGTGTGTGCTGGGACCACAACCAACAGCCAAACAGAATTGCCAAGGGGAAGAACTTATTTATTGAGTGGTATTCCCTAAATTCCAACACAACCTTTTCTGGCTACAACCTGCCTTGTCTGGTGGAGGCAGGAGCATCCCTTTGCCACAGTTTTCTTAAACTTTTCTTTGCCATGTTTAGTGTCCTAAGCCTACAGCTGTAAATGGTCCTCCTACATTATCCAATTCCATAGGTGTGTGTCACCTCCTGCCTCGTGGTACCAAAGTGTCTATCACCCTCTTCCTTATTGCCTGATCAACGATCCCCTCTAATCACCCTCTTCCTTATTGTCTAAATATTTCCTTTACTAACATTTACACATGGGAATAACTTGTTTTAATGTTTTACATGACAGATATTTCAGAAACCAGCAGTATAAAACAACATCAGAAACACAGACCAGATCTCAGCCAACAACGTGCATTAAATGAGCACATGGCCATCTCCTTTTTCTTTTCCTTTTTAATCTATATCATCAGTACTCTTAACCCCACCTACTAAATCCACAGCACACACCTAGCAGTGATACAAAAAGAGCTAGAAAACATGTTATAAACTCAGAAAAAAATACCGGAATGGTGTGCCAGATCATAAAGAGCAGCATTTCATCCCTACAACAGCAAAATCCAGTTTTATAATTGTTTGTGCTGCTGACTTCCTTCAACACCTGTGACCCTGCTTGCCGTGGCCTCATTGCCTGCTGGAAACTTGGCAAAAGACAAGAGAAGAGGTATTAGGGAACCAATGCTACATCCTGAGAGAGGCCATAAAGTCCAAAGGTTGAGCAGGATTGCCAGGAGCAGCCTGATAAAGGAAGGAAGCATGTGGCTCTGAGTAGACAAACTGCTGTGCCCGAGTACAACGTGTTCAGAGCCTGGAGCTGCACCCCAACTCTCCCACACTCCACAGAGCACAAACTATCCAGGGACTCTTCCCAAACAGCTCCCTTGAAAATGAATTATTGTAAGTCTCTTTCTGAAATGAGCATGTGACTGCTCAGTGCCAGAATTTCACAGATATTAAATTTCAAAAAAACACTCCGCTTTATTTTTTTCAAATTAAGGTAGGATGATTTGTTGATTTAATAAAAGAAAAAAATCCCATGCAATACCCCTTCTGAATTAGCATATTCAAGCCTTTCCAAAATCTGGCTCCAGTAAAGAACTTGTCCTTAAAAATCTATCAGACTGTAACTAAGCTTGTCACTTGGCATGTGGAATAAATAAGCCAATCATCAGATCCTTCAGAAAATTTCAATTAAACCTCTAAAACTGTCTCATAAAACACCCAGCATTTGAAGAGCTTTTATTCAGAAGGAGAACACAGCACCTAAAGGTTTTACAATAGGAAGAGCATGGGGCATTAATAACTTTTTTCCCCCTCTTTCCTACTCACCACTCGCTCAGTTACACGAGCACAGTGTTTTGTGATGCCACTCTGTGAATCTGAGCAGAAAACCCTTTCCTGGCTTTCAGCACGAATGAAACCAAGAGCCCGGCATGGCCCCACAAAGGACTGAGCAAGCACAAGCAAAGAGCAGGACTGGCAGCCAGGGGAGGGAGGAAAAAGGACACGGATTGCTTAGAGCTCATATTGCTGCTGAGCACTTTCTATTATAAAACCATAACCTAATATGCTTTAAGACTCTGACTCTGAGCTGCTTCCCACCGTGTGTCTCCTTCCCTGTGGGGATCCTACAGGGATCATTCCCGTTCCCCAAACGCGCCGGCGCGCCGGACACCGCTCCCTGTTATATTTTCATTATTCACTAAACAGGAGGAAGGAGAAGGCCAGCAGTGCCCCTAAACACAACATCTGCCTTGAGAAGCAACAGCACAGGCCTTAAGACCGGCTCTCCCTGGGAGTGCTATGCCTGGCTCGGCAGCGCTGTCCTCCCGGGGGAGCTCAGCTGTGGGAAGCAGGAGCAAGGAACTGCCTTTTTAGGACTGTGGCTGAGCGGGGCTGGGAAGTGCTGGGGCAGGATCAGGGCTCCGGCAGCAGTTCCCTGGCCTTATAAGGACAAAGCCAGGTATTTTCCCAGCCAGCACACCCAGGTAAGGCCCAGCAGGACTTCCCAGCATCTCCCACTGCTCGGGGAGACTCTTGGCCACTGCCACACCTGCACGGTGCAGACCTACAGCCCTGCTGTCCCCAGCCTCAGAGCATTTCAAATAGGCCTTATTAGGAAACAGAGAAGCTTAATTAACTAATTGGAAGATCGTTTTGAGATCTGCAAAGCCAGATGGTTTGTGGGTGAACCGTTCTTGATATTAATGTGACATTTTAAGGCATTCACAGCAACATTTTGGAGCGCAAGTCTCTAATGTCAGGCATCTTTTCAGCTGCCTACGTACGAGGGAAGGTTTCCAGAGGTGAGGAACAACTGGATTCTCCAAGGGCTTTGACAGAAGGGACAGGGCACCCAAAGCCTCAGACACTCAGCAATTTGTTTAAGCAATCTTTAGGAACACACACAATTAAGACTCCTCCCCAGTTGTCAAATATTAAGGCTGCTTGAGAGAAAAGCCAAAAGGTTTCAGTTTCATTCAGTTTAAGTGAGATTTCTTGTTGTTATCTGTTTTGGTTTTTAAAGCATTTCAGAACAAATCCATCCATATAGGATATACATGTAAGCAGCCCTGGTCATGAACTCTCCCATATTGTTGCTCTTTTTACTTTCCTGAGTCTGATTCTTACAAGTAAAAATAGGAGGCTGTGACTGAAATAGAAAAAAAGTACCCCTTTTCCCCAGCAAGATCCATTTTAAAATTTGATTTTTGAATCTTTATCAGAAAAATGGCCACAAAAATGGAGTATCCTTGAGTATTTTTCTTTGGGGAAATAAAAAAATAATTTCCCTTTAGATATGGCTAAAAAAATAATTTGCAGTGCAAAGTTAAAATGAGACACTACCCACCCAGGATTAATCCAGCTTCTCAGTTGTGATTATGAAATGGCACATTGAAATTCAAAGAATTTCCAAGATATTTTGCCAACTTAAGTTTTTTGAGGTTAAACTTTGATAACTGCCTGCCTAGAGATGCTGAAAAGTGTGGGTTTAGCTGAAAGCAGCTACTTTAAACTTAAAGATATGAGAATGGCTTGACAGTTTTGATCTGTACAACGTTTTAAATCCACAGAGAAGCATTGCTCTGCATCCCAAACTACTGCACCATTTATGCCTTCAGGTAACAACCACAGCAGGAAGCCCAAAACTTGGATTCCTCTTGCCACATCCCACTTGCAACATACTGTCAAGAGAACATGGGGGAAGTACTAATTTCCCCTGGGTAATCACAGGGCATCCATTTCTAGGATTCCTAGAGAAACGAGGCCACAGAGAACAGGAAAAATTACATGAATTAAATACATGAAATACATTAAATATACTAAATATGTGACAAACATAGTCTGAGCTCAAACTTGTGTTGGACTTTCTCCAGTTGTTGACTGGGCTGGGATTACATTTCCACAGCTCCAAAGGAGCACCAGGGCAAGGCTACATTCATAAAAGGAATAAAAGTTTTGACACCAGGTTTCATATTGTAAATTTCTCCTTTAAAATAACCTGCTTGCCAAAGCAGTTCAGCTGCCAGAAGGGGAGAGAGGCTGGGAAACTTTATTCCCTTTTAAAAGCAATGAGTGGGCTGTGCTGCTCAGGTACACAAGGCATTGCTCCAGAACCAGGGAGTGTTGGCTCATTAGGAGCAATTAAAAACAAAATTCTGAGGGGACTTTAAAAACAGCAACTTCCCAAAACAAAACATGCATATGTACCACATGCATTTGTTTATGCAGCTGTAATGAGTGATGAAATCCATTTATGAGCTGAAGTCACAAGATTCTAAGCAGGTCTTTGTTTAATCTCAGTAAGTCATGACATTTCCCTACTACTTATAATAATGGGATTTGGATCAACATTTTCAAACTTCTGCACCTGTTTTTTAACACTGCTCACCAACTGCACTTCTCTGCTTCTCTGCAGAGAGAACAGGCTGTTCTCAAGGCCCCACTTCGATCAAGCACCCTAAAAACAGATACAGAAACCTGGGTTTAGTTGAACACATGCCTGCAGTTCTTGAATTCAGCACATCTTCTGCAGTTCTTACTCAGACTGAGACTCTGGGCAACCTACAAAGAGTGTAAATAAAAATCAATGAGACCATTAGTGGGATGAATACTTACAGCATCAGCCCTTCTGTAACCACGAAGTCTGCCCAGATGGATGCCCTTAAAAGACTTTCAGAAGGTTTGCTCCAGACAATGGCTCTCGTTCCAGCACGTTGCTGTGACTTGGGAGAATAAAATGAAGATAAATGCAGCTGTTTCTGCTTACATTAATGCAGCATTAGTGCCCTCAGTAACAAAGGTAGGACAGAGTATGCAGGAAAATAAAAGATTCAGCACAAATAACTATTAAGTTACATGTTTTGTGCATTTATAAACTGTGCTAGGCTTCAGATGTATTATTATATAGCTTTAACAGCAGTAATCCTGCATATAAATCAGGACCATGGTTTTAGCTTTGATATTAAGGAGAAGAAAAAGGGCAAGACCAAAGATATTTGGCACTGCTGTTTTTGTCATTACTGCTGCTATTAGCTTTGCAAACAGCTCTGATGTTTTGTGAGCATCAGATCAAAACTAAATGAATACAGGTCTAGTGGTAATGCAAACAGAGTGATTTTGTATTAGTTCTTTCCAGAAGGGAAAAAAGGTTAGACTCCCAGGCTGAACAAAAAGTCTGTACCCAATGTACCAGGACAGGGCATCCCAGACAGAGAAAAGTTCTCTGGGCCTGTAAGGTGTGAGGCAAAGTGTTGCTCCAATACCTTTCTCTGTTCTCTCTCCTTTGGCCCATTCACCTCCTGCTCTCCAGAGTCCCAAAGGAGCCAGGGCAACAGCTGGATTTTCATGTGTCAGCAAACAAAAAAAGATGGCAGGAGGATATAAGGACAATGCAAGGATCTTTCTTTCACTTGGAATGTTTTGTTCCAAGCAGCCTCTTTTTTATGTGCAAAATCATAAAGAACAAGACAATTTGTCCAGCAGCTTGGACCCAAATTTAGGAAGTCTCTAACAAGGCCAAAGTCAAATATGCATAACCAGCAAAATCTGTGCATCACCCAACTGGAACCAACACAGTATGTTCCTACTCCTTGTATTTTATATTTCTCCATTTCCAAAACCCTCTTCAGTGATTTTCCTTTCACTTTTGGGATCTACCGTATAGAATGTCCAAAAGAAAACGGCTGTAAGAAATCAGAGTAACAACTGAAAAACACATATCAGTAAAAACCATTCTTTAATTTCTTAGCCCACATAAACTAAACCCAGCTGAAAACTTCTGAGAAGTTAAATTAAAATAAATAACTGTGAGAGTTAAGTAAACAGTTCCCTTACTGGATTTGCTATAACTGACTAAAACCTTTCTTCCTCTTTCCACATTAAAGGAGAGTCCTAAAACCACATTTTGCATATTTTATTAGTTCAAACCTTTTCTAACCTGGTTCCCAGGTCAGACCAAGTCTAAAAAAACTTCAAAAAGTGAATCTAACACTGTTCTAAAATAACAGAATCAGTGGAGTGTGAACAACAGGACTATCAATAAATGTCTACTCTTACTCCCAGACCCAGAGTAGAATTCTAAACAATTTTAGCCCCTAAGATTCACAATTTATTGAACTGAACTTGCATGCCAGCTTTAGCAATCAATGCTACCCATCTGATGCCTCTGAATGCTTTCACCAGAGAGAGGAACCGCGCGTTTTGAGAAAGAAAAACATTTCTACGATTGTTTTAAAAATCACAGTTGAAAGTTTCTTGAAAGGTCAGAAAGCAAGTTCTCCTGGTAGACACAGATTAGCAGCAGAGGGTAGGCAAGGTGCTCAGGGTGTATGGGAAGGGTAATCCATCAGATTGATAGCACCACTATGTATATGGTACAATTATATCTTATCTCCCCAGCCCTGCAACCAAAATAAACCCCATGGAAGCCTTGGAGTCTGCTTCTGTTGTCTTTAAGTACACACCCCTTAGGGTGGCGACCCAGGACACACCACACGCCTTTTACCTCATGTAAGACAAAAGCAAAACAAATATAATCAGTATTTTTCCTTTTAGGACTCTCACTGAGCCTCTTTGATGTGTTTTCCCTAATCGTTTTCTCTTTTTAATCATCACACTCAGGGGTTTCTCTGAGCACATTATGGTTTAGGTTTTATGTAACCTCTTCCAGGCGGGCGCCTTCCCAAGCTCCCAACACAGCAACTGCTGTAACAGTACACAGCAACTCTACACCGAGGAATACCTTGGCCAAATGAAACCAAAAGGGAAATTTAGATGAGTACATTCTGCTTAGGTTGGAATTTTGGCTCAGACACAAGAGTTCACACTCCTGGTCTTGCAAAAAGAAGCTCTAATGGAGATACTGAAAATGAAAGTATCTCTTCTACTTCAAAGCTGAAAATCTGGCTGCTTCTACAAAGTGTTTTTCTGCTGTGGGAAATTTTACTTATCTACACCATTCATGAAGGGGAAATCCTTGGTCCTGCAAGTTACCTGTGGGTTTGCCATTCACTTGACCAGACTGAGCCTCTACCAGCATGATTTACTGGCATAAAACTAGTTAAATTTAAATTTCCAATTTCCATTTGGCTGCTTGCCAATATTTCTTTGTCTTAGGAGCAATTGCTCACATTTACACTTTATCTTGATTCTCTTTAGCGACATTCCTATTTACATAGAGAATCCTTCAATGGATTACTACATTCTTTTCAGTTTTACCTAAGAGGTGCATTGGTGTCCTGTAGTTCAAAAATTTTCCTGATCCACTACTAACAAAATGGCTCAATTTATAACAGGCACCGTGTAAAACTCACATAAATGGAATACCTATAAAATATCTGGTAAACAACTGCCCCCCGTCTAAGCTGCCAGTAGATTCACGAGGTTCTAGAGTTAATTTCCATTTATCAGCTAAGAATTACTGATATCACTGATACTCATTTTTGTTGTTCCATATCATGATGCTGCCCATGGAGGAAGTAGGAACTGGGACAAGAACTGGAAACATTTCCTTCACGTGGGAAGGTGCCCTGCTAAGAAACTGCTTATTGAACCTGACAGCAGGCATATAAACAACATTAGAGGGAGTGCTCACACATGTACTCCCAATAAAGGGGAGGACAAGGCGGTGAAAGTCAGAGCTATTACACGACAAATACAAATTAAAGACATTGTTTTTAATCTCCGGGATGCTAAAATATTTTTTGAGAGCTCCCAGTGTTTGGGGGAGGAGGGCGGGAGAGAAAGGGGTAGGGCAGCAGTAAGCTCTGCTGAGGCTTTTCTCATGGTTTTTGTCACCTTTTGTGGGGAAAATCATTCTAGAGAAAAGCAGGAGAGGATTTTGAAACTAACAGAAAAAGACTTGCTAAAAGGTACTTTGCTCTCGGTAAAATTTTCCATGGGGCCTGAAAAAGCACCCTGAGCAGGCCCTTTATCACACAGTTTTGCATATGAAATGCTGTTTGTTTCAGAAGCAGCTGTATATTTTTACCTGAGGGGTTATTCCCGTCAATTGTCCCCTGATTACTGATCTGTGAAGAAGCAAGTGAAGGACGCAGAGCTACCACAAAGACAGAAGTACAGCTACTGAAGTTCATGGGATTTTCAACTTTCCCCCTCCTTACCCCAAAACTTTCAGCTTTGCGTGAACACTGTCATATATATTTTTTGTTTGGTTGCCTGGTGGGCCACCTGAAAATCATCAGCACTCTGAGAAGAAAGCTGCTATGGTTTATTCAGAATTTCCTTAACCCGAAGTCCTGCTGTGCACTGCCGTTTCCCAGAAAGGTGCATTGTTCTATCAGCACCCCTATCAAATTCAGGAGCAGAGCCGCGCTGTCGGGACGTGCAGCAGCTCAGATAGGCCGGGCTGTTGCAATCCTGTTGCAATCCTGTGCAGAAAACAGAACGTTAACACTGGCATGCTGCTCCCACGCCCTCCCCTCTGCAGGCTTCCCATTAACTCCGTGACACCCTGCAAGGCACAGGATTTATTTACACAACACCACTCTTTGTTCGGCTGCGATGTTGACAAGGCTTGGGAAGCACTAACCCGCCAGAGTAAAGGTGTATTAAGCACCAACGGAGGATGAAAGAAATGCTTTGAGACTCGCTTGATGGAGTTTCCAGCTGCAGCACAATTCTCTTTTAGCCAGGAGCTGCTGGGGACAAACCAGGGAAGCTCCTGGCTTTTACAGACAGCACTGGCTGGCACTCACACGGTGCTTCCACGAGGACTTTAACCCGGGATATGTGGTGACACCCTGAAAAGAAGCAAATTCCCCTTTGCCCAGCCACTGAGGTTTTTGCTGGGCTGGAGTGAGCGATGTGTTTCCCAACACCGTTCACCTCAGGGCTGTGTCAGCGCCAGGGAGGGGACAGCGTGGGAGCCGGAAAAGGCAGGACGGGCTCTTGTGTCAGCAGGGCCGGCCGAGCACACGGCGAGCCCGACGTCACTCCCGGCTCTGCTGATTTACATCTGCTGGGAGCGCTCCTCGCTTCTCCTTAAAAAGCATTGCTAGATGGGAGAGCAGCTTAGAACGGAACACCGGTGTAAAAACTGCCAGGGAAGCTCCGGGGCAGATTTATAGGGTGGAGATGACAAAGGGCTGTAAGGTTCACCTCCCCACTCCTGCGGCTGTGGCACCCATCCTCAGGGTATAAAGCCGGAGAATTCCCTGTTTCACGTGGTCATCTTCTTGCCAGAAACAGGGCTTAATTCTTTAGGAAACGACCAGTGGGAAGGTGGAGAGGTGCTGGTGGCTGTGCCTCAGCATCCCCCTTCTGCGAAGCTGCCATGTGATAATTCCTCCTACGTGAACAACTCCAAATGCTTTTCAGAGACTCTGAATGTAAAGAAAACAAAACAACCCCCACAAAAAACAAGCCCTTAGCAACTGGAAGATATTTGGTCCAAAAAGTCAAAGAGTGACCAGAGAGTTAACTGGCATAAATCTAAGTGCCAGCATATGCTCCACACAGTCCTGGGTCAGATTCAAAATGCATTACAAGGCTCATGAACCAATAAAAATGCCATTGATTGATAGCCTAAAAGTAAATGGGGACAGTAGCGAATATTTTATACCAACAAGTTAATCCTACATTGTCTTCCAGATGAAAATCCATTGCTTCTCCATACCTATTCCTTAGTGCATTTTTAAAAGTAAAAATACTTCATAACACTTGTCCAGCATTTATTCCCCTCAGATCTGCCTGCTTTGCTAAGACTTCAGTCTCATTATGCCCATTTTACAAGGAGGGAAATCAAGCTACAAAGATGCTAAAGGTGATTAAGGGTCATTCAGTAAGGAGGCAAAAGCAGGGCAGAGTGCAATTCACATTTGAGTTGACTTTCTTCCGTTTTTCCTCTTTGAGTATACAGAAAATAAGATTACTTTTCATGAAACTCACAAGGTTATATTAAAGAGGTGAATAAATTTTTTTGCCAAACTTTTAAAGTTTTCTTAGTTGTCTTGGAGGGAAATATATTCCCCACCAGTACTGCTTAAAGGTTAGGTGAATACTCTGCTGACCAAAAACATAAATGGAAAATATACTCCTGTTCTTATTAATATTTATGTAATTACCCAGGGCTGAAATTGGCTATCATTGAACTGACCTCAGATCTCTGACATAAATGCCTATTTGAAGCACCTGGCAATGGGCTGGGAGCATCCACACCCAGAAGTGCTTTGTCTGGGCTTGCAGCTCTGCCAGCCACACACCTTTTCCTACAGGGCTGCAGGAACTGGGAAACATCAGCACAAAACGTGCTTATGTAGAGCAAGGCTACGTTGTACCATTAACTCTTACAACACACGTGCTTCACCTCCCTCACATGACTTACCTGAGCCCTCTCCTCACTCAACAGAAACCTCTGGAAATCTGTGCATGCTGCAGCTGGTTCCCAGCTCCCTAAATACCACACAGACACTTCTGGAATGGCTTTCTAGTTGTTTCCTATTAAAAAAAAAAAAAGTAAAATTTAATTCAATCTGAATTTCAATTCACAGCCATCACAGCCTTTAGGCCACTGCTTTAGCATTGTCCTTTTATTCTGAAAATTCTCCTTGATCTTATGAACTTGTTTTTAACATATTCAAATGTTATGGCTTTTTATATGTTTCATATGTTCTCAACAGGCTGTAAACAGTCCTGTGAGCTGAGCAACCCATCCACCAAAGGCACTGCCAGCTGCTCATGGACTTGCTCTAGCACATATGGGAACAGTGCTCCTGAGCCCATTGTAAAAACACAAGATCTCAGGTAGTGACCCTTATGATTCTGGACCAAATTTCCCATCTCTTCTTCCTTCTGAAACAAGGGAACATAGAGATGCTCTAGTGTTGGCAGCTGCATACCATTTTTAGCACAGAACAGCAATTTTGAGAGGTTGAACATCCTGGTTCTTGTCCTGAGGGTCTGCTGTGGGTGAGCCTGGGATGTTCCCAGCCCGTGAGGGGTCAGAGCTGCCCAGACAGGGAGGAGCAGCTGCGTCATTGTGTGATAGCTCAGCTGGGATCAGAGATCAGGTTGTTGTTTATTAATCAGGTGGGACAGAGAAGTAGTTCAGCAGCACCTTCTCCAAAACAGAAGCCTTGAACTCTGCTTGTGCTCCCAAGCACTGTCCTTCCCAGGCCATGCCCTTTCCTCCCTACATTGCCTTCCTTGGCACTTTGGCAAGCCCAACTGCTCCCACACCATGACTCCAACACAAATGACTGTCATCCACAGTGAATGTTTCCATTTGAATTACGTGAGCAGGCACTTTGTAAACTTCCCCACAGGCTCCACCACACTAATCCCTGGGAAGGAGCAACCTGCAGGACCTACTTTCACTCTTGAATGCTTTCTCTGTTTGCTGCTCCTCCTGTCAGAGCCATTACCCGAGTTCAGACAGGTGTCCTTACATCTGTCACCCACCAGCCACGGCTGACATTCAGGACAGGAACTCGCTGTCCGTGTCCAAGCCTGAGCCCACAGCACAAAACAGGAAAGCCTGATTGCTCCCTAGAAATCCCAGAGCTCTGTGCTGCTTTTCATTGGGCACTTTTGGTCTCATGCAGACTCGCTTCCTCTGCTTCTCCTGTTGCAAGTATGCTTTATCCCAGGTTGCCAGGAGCCTACTGTGCCAACAGCTGCTAAGACAGAGCAAGGTGTCAACTTTGACAGGATGCCAGATTGTTTATTAATTAAAGATTTAAGCACTCTGTATCTGTCCTGAGACCCTAATCAAAACGGAGCTGTTTTACCAAGGGCTCTGAATAGTTGAATCCAGTTATTCTGAGGCTTTCAGTCACAACTGGCAACCACAAATAAATCCATTTTGTTGACACTACCGTCTGTTTATTGAAATACCCAAAGACCACAAAGCTAACTTCAGTTCTCCACCTCAGTAATATGGGAACATATGCACACTTCCAGCAGGATCTTTTCCCCTGAACACAATAAATATCTTTTCAAAGGCATTCACCTGCCTCCCCAGCACTCAGTATCAATATGCTTCTATTTGTATGGTACATTTTTCCTGCTGCCAGCTCCCAATGCCAAGCAGAGCCGTCTGCTTCCCATATGCCACCCGTCCTCCAGTGCCTCCTCTCCTGCTTACCTTCCCCCTCTGGGCTCCCACTGAGGATCAACTGCTACTCTGCCAGCCTTCTTGGTGTGTAGAGGATTTTTCCAACTGCAAGCTCCACAGGATGGGAACTCTGCCCAACTCTCTATTTCCCAGAGCACCAGCTAAACTGTGGTATAGAAATAAAGAGCACAGAGACATTATTGGTGTGACATTTAGATTTGTAACATCCCAAACATCCTTCTAAAACAAGGTGTTCCTGCCCAGGGCAAGGGGGTTGGGACAAGATGATCTTCAAGATCCCTTCCAACCCCAGCCATTGTAGGATTCTAAAAGGCACAGGAAGCAAGGCCCCGGGGCTCCTTTCAGACTCATCTCTAAACAATGTGGTTAACTTCTACTTGCTCAGGGGTTTGATCAAAAATTTAAAAATACATACGAGTGTTTGAATAAAAAATTATAAAGTTCATTACCTATTTGAAAATATATTTCTGAGCACTTGCAGTGAGCAATGAAATCCTCTATAGCACAATAGTGAGAAATTTAGTACAACTACTGAGTGAAGAGGTCATCCCATCCACTTTAGAGACAATCATATCACATCTTTCATTCAGCTGTTGCTGCACATCAACATCCAGGGTTTGAATTGCTCAGGCAGTATTCTTAGGAAAATGGAAAATGTTTTTAGTGGTTCTTCCCTCACTTCTGCAGCCTTTCTGTGTGTTTACAGCACTGCTGTCCTGCCCCAGAGGTAACCCAACAGGTCTAGCAAAGCCTCCTAACTTTGCCCCACCTCCATCATTCACAATCTTGTCTCTCTAACCTACTCATTTTCGCCCATTCCACAAACTATTAGTTTCAAAGAAATTCAGAGATTAATTAAAATGATTGGTGGGATGAGTAGGTGAGGGGGACAGGCTAAAGGGCTTGACAAGAAGAAAGATGAAAAGGACTAAGTGCGTATGGCTTGGTTATGCGATGACTAATGGAGGGTGGAGGAGATGGACACGATATTCATTTACAAGTGCCTGTGGTTCTGAAGAGCATTTTTCATGTGCAAAATGAAGACTCACTCAAGACCGGCTGGGCTTTTTTCGAGTTTTGGTTCCAGGGTCCTCCACGTCAAGTTGTGAGTCCCACTCTTCCCCCAGCCTATGCATTCCTACCTTTCCCCTGTGTCCCCAAATGTATTGATTTGTTTTTATTTCAGACACAATTCCTGGATCTCCACCTGGCCACAGGAGTCCTGCTGGGAGCAAAGAGCAGGAGGAGAGGCCACGGAAGCCGGGGGTGGATGAGGTGGCAGCTCTGCCACGCCTGTGCTGTGCTGCAGACTTGGACCCACTTGAACCCAGGACGCAAACACGCCCTGAGGAACCGGCAGGGGACTGGGACCAGCAGAACCCAGGAATGATTTCACTTCCACTTGGCCTAAGGAAACTCTGTTCCTTGTACCCTCTCACTCCCACCTGCTTTTACCATGCTTGGATGGAGTAAATAACAGAAAAATACTTGTGCTTTCTGACTCCTCAAACTCTTGTCTCCCCCAGTTGGAGAAATCTGGTCTATAGTAATTCCTTAAGCAAGTGGAAAGCAGTGTGTGAAGATCCAGCAATTCCCAGTTTTATTCACTTTAAGATGTGAAGGATATCACATTTAGAAAGTGTGAAGTCCTTTTTTTAAAAAAAAAAAAGCCAAAAAATCTATATAAAAACTTTCTGTAGAATAAAAATAATAAAAAGGTTACAGAAGCTTCTCTGAGGAGGAGAAAAAGAAAATAGTCTAACATGTCACATCAATATCAATCATATCTTGAAATATTTAATAGACACGTAATAATACTATGTGGGAAAAAGTTGTTTTTTTTCCGGGAACAACGGTTCCAAAAAAAAAAAAAAATCAGAAGATGACATTAATCCTTTTCTCTTTCCTTTTTTTTTGTCCAAATGATTTTGAAATAAGTCAAAAGCATTTGAGATGCAGAAGTGAAACAAAACAACAAACCCATTTATTCCTGGACACCAAATATAATTTAGACGGATGTGGTGTGTGTAAGAAATTTTAATTTATCCCTGAAAAGCCATTTAATTATTCAGATTATCTGATTGCCTCACTCAGGCTTCTATTGATTGATTAGAGAAGTTTATAAATCAAAATGTGCATTACTGCTGCTCAATGCATCGGCCTCTCAGAAATACAGGGCAGGGACTGGCAATTCCTAGCCACAAGTTTGTTTATTGAGCCATGTAAATGGCTCTGGTTTGTACCTGGGTCAGGAAGTGCTCCTTCATCCTACCAAAGGAATATTTTCTTAAGGACGTCAGGAAAGGGGGAATAAAAGCCCGGAATTAATAGGTGTTTAATAAATCAGGGCATAGCCACCAGAATTCCCAGCTACTTGGCTAATGGCCATGAAGGATCATTATCCATGGGTTCCACTTCTGGATCTGCTCCACTCTGAAGGTCTCAGGTTCTGAACTTGGGACTGAAATCTCAGCCAAGTCCCCCCTAAGGTCCCCAGTTAGGCAGAAAATCCCCTGGGAGCAGCCCAGAGCTCTTGTTTTTGATTTTCAGTTCCAGCTCCCCACAACCTTCACAAGCTTCACCTTGACTCTCTATTGCAGCCTGGACCAAATAACCTCCAGTGAGCAGCAATTAACCTAATGAGTGTCCCCCACAGCTACAGGGCCTCAGCTCCTACACGTCTCCAGCAAACTGGAATGTCTGCTCCTGAAACCCCGCCTCTGTAAGAGGAAGGAAGTACAGAGCTGAAATGGGTGGAGGGGAAAAAAAATTAAATGCAATTAATCCCTCCAGCCTGATCCAACCCTCACTGAAGCTAATCAAAACCTTGCATTGATATCAGTGGGCACCAAAGGCAGTTTTACAGGTTATACAAATCTGTAATAAAGAGTCGTTTAAGCTACACTGAGCATGTTCCTCATAGTCTGGACTTTGCTTTCTAGGACAAAAGAAACATGCAGCAGAAAACCCCAAAGATAAAACAAAACAACACAACCAATTAAACAATTAAATACACAAAGTTAATCAGAATAAATTTTATTAGTGGTATTTGTCTATACAGCAAATTAATCCCATGGCTTCCTGTGTACCAGAAACCACAAACAACCTCCCCATTTTTCACTTAATTTGCAAATATTTAAAATATTTTATTTCAAAATAAACAACTGTATACAATAAATGACTTCGAATTCAAGTCTTGCATTTCTGGATTTTCTTCCTTGCCCTTTATAAACATAAAAAATGCGGGGTGACACAGAGGAGATCATTTATGGGCTATCTCCGGGGGTTGTAACACATCAAGGACTGCCACATGAGGTCCGATGAGATACCCATCTCTGACAGAGGCCAGGAGTGGGTCCCTAGGGAGGCACAGTAACCAGGGATGCCCCCCCAGGCAGAAGTCATTTGCAGCTCTGGGATTTCCAGAGCCAGTGTAGATGTTCCGTGATTCACAGACCTGAAGTGATTTCTCTTCTGTGAATTCATCCAATCACGATAAACTCCCTCAGCCCACCCTTGCCAGGGAGTTCCAGCGCTGAGCCACAGTTCTGTGAAGACATTTCTCTGGTTTATTCTGAACCTGCCAGTTTCATTTGATGCCCCTTGGCTCTGGGGCCGGAACAGTCACACTCACTGGTCTCTATTTATCTTATACGTAAAGATTAAAAAGGAATTAAACAACTGCTTTGAGTGCTCACTGCATTAATGAATTTCAGAGATTTTCCTATGCATGTGCAGTAACTTAGTGCTGTCTGGCTGAACAGTTTATGCAGCTGAAGTTTGAGTTAGCTGCAGCCCAGAGAGAAGCTGCCTCTGTTAAGGCTGTGCACATACCAGCAGCACAGAGCAAACTCCCAGTTCAAGTTTTGCATTTTGTGCCACAAACCGTTAACACACTGTGTGTATTATTTCCATCATTCCAGTTAACACCAGTGCCCACCGTGTGGCCAAAGTCAGGTGGGAGCATCAGGGAAAAACGCACAAGAAAGAAACCCCAACTACTTCAAAGAGGGGAGCTGCACCTTCACTTTTCTTTCACAGCTGCTGCTGTTTCTGTCTGCTTCACTACTCCCTCCTATACGGTAACTGGTAATTATGTCATTATATCCAGGAAAAAAATAGCACTGGAGAATTTGAAAGTGTGTTCTCAAAACTAGACCTAAGTTTGTTAGCTTCACATATCGTGAGAAGGGATTGAAGCTGACAGACCCAGTTCTGCACTGACAAAAAGCTGAACAGCAGGTAACAGCCTCCCGTTGGAAGGATAAGGAGCACTTGTTGCACTGTTGGCAATCAAACACACAAGTACAGCCCTGCGGTCCCTGTGCCACCCCGTATTGTCACCGTCTGTCCTCAAATAGCTGCTGCACTTTATTCCAGAGATAGCTGCCTGTCTGCCGTCCCAAATCCCCATCACCCCGAGAGAAGGGTGTGTGCGGGGTAAGGTAAGGAAAACGAATCCCTTTTATCAGCGCTCTGCCCTGGAACGCCGCTCGCACAGAGCGGCTCCAGCGAACCAGACAGCTCCCATCTGTTGCTCCGAGGGGAACATGCCAGCAGAGACTTTTCTCCTACACCGCGATCCTTCGGTTCCAGCCCTTATTTTCCCTCCCAACTAACCTGCACTTCCACAGCAATACTGGGACACTGTCTAAAATTAGGCCGTCGCTGTCCCCTCCCCTTGGAGGACGAGTCCAGAGAAACCCATCCGCAACCCGGCTTTTTCCTGTCGGGTTTTATTTCCCCTCTGCATTCTCCCGGTTATTCCTGAGGTCGGGAATTGACGTCCCGGCTCTCTGCAAAGGCAGAGCCGCGCCGGGGGGCGGAGGTGCGGGGGCGTACGCGAACACCCGCGGCCGAAACCCGCGCTACCCGCCGGGCTGGGCTGGGCGGGCGAGCGGGGACTCCACAAGCCCCGCGGGGGCTCAGCCCGGGGCGGGGAGCGCGGGGTGCCCCCGGTGCCGCCCCCGGCGCTGCCTGGAAGCCGCGGGGGCGGCGGGACGGGGAAACCACGTGGGGCTCCCCGGGAGCGCCACCTGAAGGGCCGAACCACCGCCGGGGGAGGGAGGAGCGGCGAAGGCGGGGGGGAGCACACCACAGCACGAAACACGGCGGAGGCAGCGGCCGCCAAGCAAACAAACAAAC